ACAGGCACACTGAGGGCCTGGCATCCAGCCACAGGGGAGAAAGGGACAGGAGGGAGGGGGGCCGGAGAAATCGTGGGGTGCCTTGCCTGTATCTTGTGGCTGCGTGAGGCGGGGCCCCCTTCCATCAGGCCCAGCACGTACAGGCCCATGTTGTACTCGCTGCCCCCTCGCAGGCTGAACCCGAAGCCGGTGGGACCCCTCTCCAGATCCACACTGTAGTACCGCGCGTCCTGCAGGGTCACAGAGGCCCCAGTTAGTGGGCTTTCGGGGAACATGTGTGCGTTAAGGCTGAGAACAGAGCACAGTCATAAGCTAACGCAGGGGTTACGTTCCTGAGCCTCCTGAGTTCTTCCTATTTTTACAGTGTAGTATAAAGGGTTTCAATATGTACAGAGCCAAACACCTACAGTTACCCTATGCGTGCATTAAAGAAACGATTTGGTGTGTTTATAATGTACTTAAATTACTATATTATCTAATACAGCACTATATTATTATCAGTTGCACTTTATAGGGAGTTAGTAACATGTGTAGCAATACAGTATGTAACTGAATAACCACCTGCACACATAAAGTACACACAAACTGAGGTGCTGTAATTAGCGGAGTTCCCCAAGGCTCTGTACTAGGACCTCTCTTCTTAATTTAAATCAATGATCTAGACTCAGGCATAGTTTGCAGCATGAAGCGAGAGAAAAGGGAGGGAGCAGAGAAAGAGGGAGAGAGTGAAGAACAACGGGATCAAAATCTTTGCTGAAGAGACAGATGTACAGAAAAACTCGCGTACCTTGTGCCGTGACCTGTGACCCTTCCTTACTCGGGACTCAGTGTCCACCTCTGTAGGCTCTGATAGGTTGGAGTCTGCAAAAGAAAGCCATGCTCTCAGATTCCTCTAGGTTCACGAACACTGCTGTAGGCTCAAGAACTCTCCTGTTTGCTCATGAATACTCCTGTAGGTTCATGAACACTGCTGTTGATGACTGAACACTCCTGTAGGTTCATGAACGTTCATGAGGCTGAGAGGACAGCGAGACGAGGAGGAGTCGAGGCTGCGAGGACAGTGGGGGAGAGTCGAGGCTGTGAGGACAGTGGGGGGGGGAGAGTCGAGGCTGTGAGGACAGTGAGAAGAGGAGGAGTCGAGGCTGCGAGGACAGTGAGAAGAGGAGGAGTCGAGGCTGTGAGGACAGTGAGAGGAGGAGGAGTCGAGGCTG